TGAGGATTTGACACCCCAATAAATGATTACTGTATCCGTCTTAATCCCCTTCTTTGATCTGCTCTCCGTTGGTCCTTCTTGGTGACTCCATCGCCAATTAAATGATGCAGTCTCTTGCGTACTTTCTTTGCCGTCTCCCTTAAATATAATGCTATCATCTGGCATAATTTTCGTTTTCTCCCTTTAACGTATACACCTTGTTTCTAATAAAAATAGACAATACAGACTTTTATGGGGGGAAAAAAATATAATTATCTTGGGTGCAAACACGATACGTCTCTACGCAGATATGTGCACGTAAGTTTGGGCATCTGAAGCTTTGCCACTTTTGAACACGTCGAACTCCCACCAAAGAACAGGGACTAACATGAACTTGGCTTCCCTAGGACCTAATCACTTTTTTTTTGGGGGGCAATATGGCGTCATCTCATTGACAAAAGAATTGTGTGGGTAACGTGCCTTTTTTCGAACGACCCCTTTACACACAGATATATATATATATATATATATATATTTGATTTCTTTCTGTGGTGGTCAGAAATAAATAAAGAATTATAAAATAAAAATGTCAACAGACCCCCCCTCTAAGCTCTCTGTTGATCCCAAATCGGTACTTAAGGCTGGGAAACAAAATGCAAGCCCTGCCCCTGATTAAGGCTTCTAAGAGCCAAGTATAATTTGGACCAACACCCCACCCTCAACAAACGGTGGATTCACGAGCTGAGTAAAAATATTAGCATTTGCATGCAATATTTAATGATAATTACTCTTCCGGTCCTTGATATAGAACCTGAGTTGATTTTAGTCCTAAATATAAGATTCATTTATCATATTTATCAATTTTTTCTAAATTACTTCTATAGATATTCCGTCAACTATAATCAAGTAAAAGAAAGAGAGGAGGCATTAAGAAAAATGATTATGGTATTTTAGAAAAAACGTGTCATATTTCTTATAATTAACTAACTTACCTAACTTATTTAATATAATCAAATTAGTTAAATAAGTCTTATATTAAGTACCGAAGGAGTATTATTTTTGCTATTAAAAAAAAACTAAAATCACATCCGTTCACATAGCTATTGGCGTAAGCGAGTGCCGATAAGAAGCCACCACCCAGGTTCCAGTCAGCGTCAGGCAGACTTTCTTTGGAAAGTTTGAGTTCAATATCGTCGTCACGCTGTGTACACTACGCGGTTTTCTACGGATACAGCTATCAGCCCACCACAAAGGTCTCTTCCCCAGCCTCCCTCTTCTCGTATAAGTCTCTTTTGAAATTTTCCTCGTCCCCCAAAATCATTCTTTGCTTCTGCCTTCCTCTTCCCCAATTCCCATATTGTTTCATCCACTCGTTGCAAATCTCTAGAGCCAACTTCCCAAGGCAGCTCAAAATTCACCCCTCTCTTTCTCTCTTTATCCTGTATTTCTTTGGAACAGGGTACGCTCTTATAAGAAAGTATCACTTTCCCCCAGCTGCTTCTTCCTTTCTGCATCTTTCTGCATAAGTCTGGTCTTGTCGAGGAATAAAAATACTTTCTTTAGGGGAGAAATGGTCCGCTATCACCGGCACCATCAACTCAGGAAAGGTGGAGAATCCATAAAAGACGACATGTCTCAAAATGAAAATAATGACCCTGGCTATTGCAGGAGAACCAGGTCCAGGTTGTTCTCTCTCTTCTTTCTCACTCTCCTCTCCTGCTGCTTCGTCTTGGCACCTTCTTTCATCGGCTTCTCTTTCAGTCTGCCCCGCTTGTGTAAGTTTCTCGCCTCACGCCTTCCTCTGATTTCTTTCTGTTTTTTTTTCCCTGTTTCTTGTTTCGGTCTTTCCCAATCTCTGTACAACTCTAAATATTGTTTACCTTTCTTTTCGCTTTTCAGACCCTCTTGGCACGGAAAACGGCCCGGCCGTGGTCGGGTTGTGCTCTTCAGTTGCTGGGGGTAGGTGTTCCTATTCTATTGTTCTCTGTGTGCTGATCTTTTTTTTTTTTTTTTTTTTAAGTAATGAAATTCATATCTTCTATCTCAGAAATTCCTATTTTTCATTAGGACTTGGGATAGAGACGTGTCTTGGAAGCCCTCTTCTGTAAAAACTAAAAAGATAGATAGATCAAATTATTGACATATTTGTAACCTTATCAGAGGTCACTATTTGATTCATATGCTTATATATCTTCTATATTTGGCTTGGTCTAACTATTCAACAGTGACTCCTAAGGTTTTTTCTTGTGTTGGATGTTTTCCTTTGATATCTTACATACTTCCATTGGTGATGCAGGAACTATATGTTGTGATAGGACTGGCTACCGTTCTGATATCTGCATAATGAAAGGGGATATAAGAACACACTCTTCCTCCTCCTCAATCTTCCTTTACAATCCCATCGGCGTCCATAATCATATGACTAATGCGTCAAGAACAGCTGTAAGTAGTAAACGGGATGATGATCGGGTGCTCCAACATGAAAAGATCAAGCCATATACCCGAAAATGGGAAACAAGTGTCATGGACACCATTGATGAACTAAACATCATTTCCAAGAAAGTGATTTTGGGTACTGGTAATCATAGTTGTGATGTTCATCATGACGTTCCTGCATTGTTCTTCTCTACTGGTGGCTATACCGGCAATGTTTATCACGAATTCAACGATGGGATCATACCTCTGTTCATCACCTCCCAGCATTTTAACAAGCAGGTTGTGTTCGTCATACTTGAATACCACAATTGGTGGATTATGAAGTATGGAGACATCCTTTCTCATCTGTCAGGCTTTCCCGCCATTGATTTCACTGGAGACAACCGGACCCATTGCTTCCCCGAAGCCATTGTTGGTCTGAAAATCCATGATGAGCTTACTGTGGATTCTAGCTTGATGATAGATAACAAGAGCATTGTTGATTTCCGAAACCTTCTGGATCGAGCTTACTGGCCTCGGATTGAGAGCTTGATCCAAGACGAAGCAAAGGAAGCACAGGATAGATTACTCCCTAGATCATCAGAAAATCAAGGGAACAAGCCTAAATTGACTATTTTGTCAAGAGCAGGATCAAGAATGATAACCAATGAGAACCTGCTAGTGAAAATAGCAGCGGAAATTGGGTTTAAAGTCGAGGTTTTAAGGCCAGATAGGACAACAGAATTGGCAAAAATCTACAGAGCACTTAATTCAAGTGAGGTTATGGTTGGGGTACATGGTGCTGCGATGACACATTTTCTGTTCATGAAACCTGGTTCTGTGTTCATTCAAGTTATCCCTCTAGGAACATCCTGGGCAGCAGAAACATATTATGGTGAACCTGCAAGAAAGCTTGGATTAAAATATATTGGGTATAAAATCCAGCCCAAAGAAAGCTCTCTGTGTAAGAGGTATGATAGAGATGATCCTGTTCTTACAGATCCAGAAAGCATTAACAACAGGGGGTGGGAATACACTAAGAATATCTATCTTGACAGCCAAAATGTCACATTGGATCTCAGAAGATTCCAGAAAAGGCTGCGTCGTGCTTATGAATACAGTGTTTCGAAATTAAATACGCATCTATCTCAGTAATCTTCATTTGTTCCATGCCTTCGTTTAACTATTTCTTTTCAATTTTTTCATTCTTTAATTTGTGCTACTGGCGGTTTGGTTTGGATGACGCTTTTTCCTTCCCCTCAGCAAAAGCAAGACAATTGTAAAAGTATACTTTTTATTAGTAAAACAAACTGAGAGTATATATATTTTGGGAAATGGATCCTCACCCTTGTCCTTCCTCTACCCTCCGTTTGGTTTAACCGTTATTAGATTAAAATTTTAATTTTAATAGTTTAGAATTAATATTTTATAAAAATATTATTATAACTTTTTTATAAAATATTAAATATTTTTTTCATAGGCATTAAATTTTAATTCAATGGTGATAACCGATACAGAGAAAAGCAGGGTGGAGGAGGGGTGGAAGAGGATAGATCCATTCTCAATTTTTCTGGCTATTGTGAAATATGAATCGAAGTAAATATTTAGGAAAAATGACAAAAAAAACCGCCAAAATAAAAACATTACACACACGGGGACCAATTTATAAAAATTATTATCAAAACCCATATTAATATTGTGATGAGTTTTTATTTATAATTGACAGTTTTTTTTAATCATTTTCTCATAAATTTAAGGGGTCTTAAAAAAGAAAGAGAGAGAGAGAGAAGAGGGACATTAATGATAGATATTTTTCAATGGAAGCATTCCTTGTTGCGTGTCAGTTTGGTACGACAAGGAAGCATGTGAACGTTAGGCAGATTCGATGGGGACCACTAACGGCTAAGAAATTCTGAGTTTTGGGCAGATTATGCATGCCTGCATTGCATTTTTACAGCTTCCAAATCTATTCCTGATTCCAGTTGATGGCACACTTAAGTGTACGGTGAACAAATCGTTTTTTCCTATTAAAAATATGATATTTAATTTTAAAAAAATCATCATATAAAGTCACATTCTAATATTGAGATAGCAGTGGGTATTATCGTCAAACATGTAATTAGCATGGTGCAGTAGTGCAACCTCCACTTTTGACTAAAGAAGGCATTGAATTATGTGATTTTTGTTGCTTAATAAAAAGTAGTAACATTAGTATTTAAAAAGAGAATTGCAACAGGCAAAAAAAAAAAAGAATTGATTTTCTTATTTAAGACCTATATGTAATTATCCCTATACAAAGCATTATCAACACAACTGTGGATCAATTAAAAAAACCACTAAAAAAAAGTTGACAATTGTTCTTGTTTGACTGAATAGGCAATTAACAATGCGATTCTGGCTGCTGAGCAAAAGTTGGCAACTTTCAACTTTTTATTGAAACCAGTAATGGGGGGAAAAATCAAAACTTGATTTTGACAAAGGTAGTTTCATAATTACAGGAAGAAGACGTTCCTAACCAAGCTACTTAATTGACAGCAACCGACACAATAGTTAGTTTAGGCGTGCTTAGAGTCAAAGCACTGACCCACAGTTATTCCCTGTTTTTCTCTATAGCCACCGTTTCCCACTCTTGGTGGCTGATCGCATTGTAGGAGGCGTTTTCGTGTTTCTGTGCTCCTTATCGCCTACAGAAATAACAGCACTAACGAGTAAAAATTACGCAGTCAATGAAATACTAATGAAAAAATAATTCTTTCTTGTGTTTTACTTACTGGAGACCACAGACTTCCCTCCAAGAGAAGATCTACGGGAGTTTTCAGTGCCAGGTGCTTGAATCCCCGTTAGAGATTGTCTCCTTTTTGTTCTCGCAACAGAACTTGGTGGTGATTTTGCTTCAATTATGTTAGTATTGCTCTTCATGGGTGACTTCACTTCCACCATATTTTGTTGGCTCCTGCAATTTCACAAGCAAAGCTTCACTAAAAACGACCAAAAGCAGGAGATAAAACTTGCTTGCTTTATTTCACCCACCTCTTATCTGGTCCATTAATGAGTTTTCCTATGGTCCGTAAGGATTTCCTTATTTGGGAACCTTTGCCATTTGTGCTGCTAACCACATTTGGTGTCTGGAAATCCATGGAAACCGCAACATCGCTCCATACAGCTTTATATGTTTCAGTCTTATCAAACCCTTGTGTTTCAGGTGTCTCAGGTAGTTTAAGTGGATGAACTTGAGCTGCACAATCTATTTTGATCACCTTCTTCTGATATTTAATGCTTGTAGGACTTCGAGGAGCTTTAGTGTGCAACTCTAACTTGGAACTGCTACTACTGAAATGCCCGACTAGTTTTGGCGCTGGATCAGCATCTCGCAGAGAACGGTTTTTCTGTTGAGATACTGAATCCAACTGTAAAGATTGGTCTACGTCAGTAACATCTTTTGGCTGTACAGTGCCCTTCTTGATTATGCTTTTTGAACCTTCCAAGCTCAATCTTCTTGAACGAGGCATAAAAGAAGGTGATTTCATTCCACTTTTATCGTCAGGCTTCATAGAAGTGTTGTCATTCCTTGTGGCGCTACAGTTCTCAATGCTAAGTCTTCTAAGGCGCAATGGAGTTTTCTCAGATGGAGTCCTTGGTTCTTTAGTCCTACTTAACTGTACTCTCTGTGCTTCCTTGTTCGACAATGCCATCTTAAGGTTCTCAACCTAACAAATCATGGAAAATGAAGCAGAGGCAACCAGCTTAGTATAACTACCTATGATACCAAGGAGTCAACTTAGTAAGCCTTGAATTTAAATCATAATTTTCCAACTCTCTCTCTCTCTCCCTCTCTCTCTCTCTCTATCTGTGATAGCATTATATCCAGCTCTCTTACCTGTTCCTTAAGTTGCATAACCTCCCTACTTTCTCTATTCGATCGAGCTGCTCCAAGTTCCACAGTGGAAACTCGCTGAGCAAACTTTAGAGTGCTGATTGTTTCGCCAAAGGACTCTTCTTCAGGACTCACATGAGCAAACATCAATGTTTTGGCTTGCCCACCTGATGCGAAAATTACCAAGAGAAAACTCTGTGAACAAAGGGCTATATATATAATTTAGGGGGAAATGGTTCAATGTTTAATTTGTCATAACAAGGGAAAGCGTCAGAGTGTGAATTACAACCTAAGGAATCCTGCAACAGAAGGGTGAGTTTACTATTCCGGTAAGGGATGTGAGAGTTTCTTTGAGCCAGGGCTGTGATCACATCCCCCAAACAGGAAAGAGACTTGTTGATGAATTGTGCTTCTTTTAGTCTTTCCCCTGTAACTTCAGACTTCTCCACTCGCTCACTTCCAGCAAGGTCTATCAAATGCAAGCAACCACGAATGGAGCTCCCAGAGATATCTTTGCCATGAACATGCACGGTGAGAACACTGAGATCCATGCGGAACAGACTCATCACTATCTCAACTAAACTGTTTTACATTTTAATGTAGCAAGCATAGATTAAATCTAGAACTAATAGCTCCGGTTGGTACTAGAATCTGACCTGTGGGAACGACTACTCCGGTTGTTGATGGAAGTGGAACTAACAGCTCGGTTAACCTCACCAAGTTTCATGAGGCTCAATACATCATGTGTAGATTTTACAGAACGCAATGTAGCATCCGGAAGGTTCAAGCCATTGTCATTACAACTTCGTATCTCTAATTTGTGGTACGTTAAAGAAACGAACTATTTGCAAATAATATTGTAAAATCAGCAGGGAGAGAAGCTTTGAACATTATTATCAACATGTTTCTGGCGCACAATATAAACCAGTAAGAAAAGGATATTTGTTGTCTGTCTTTTCCTCTGCAAGCAAGTCTCTTACTTGCTCATTGTAAATCTCAACCATTTGAACGTAAATGTCGTAAGTTATAATGTCCTTTCGCTGGTTAGACATCTGGAAAAGATCATTTAATGCAAGATAATTAATCCCCATATCTTTAGAAGATCCACCTGATGGCCCACTCTGTCACCAACCAAAAAAAAAGAACCCAGGTTAATGTCGGTAACCACTAATAGTGAAGCGGATATAGATCATGTCAAAGTGGCTTACCATGGTATATGTCTTCCCAGATCCAGTTTGTCCATAAGCAAATATGCAAACGTTATATCCATCTATCACAGATCTAATTAGTGGTCGAGTGTCCGTGTATATTTCACCTGAGCATGGTAAATAGTAAATTTCCATATAGAGAAGAACATAAAGAAAAGAATCTGCAAAACTGGTTTGTAAAAGATCGTTGTGGAGCTACCTTGGCCAGCCGATGGTCCAAAAACCCGATTAAACTGAAAAACTTTCCTTCCATCTTTTTGTGTTTTTGATGGATCTAATAGGACTAGAGAACCATCCTTTCCAATGAACTCTATAACATTCTTGGACTCAGCACAGGAGGATGGCCTAATTCTGCAGTAAACTCGAATATTACCTGAACATGATTGAATTTGAAAAGGGTAGACAAAGTTAGTTTAACGAAACTTCCCTCCCCCGGGGGGGGGGGGGCAACAAGAAGAAGAAGAAGCGTAAGGTAAAAGAAAATCAACCTTTCAGATCTTGGACCATATTATATAACTTGCTGTTCTCCTTCACCACCTTGTAATATCCACATGCAGCAGTGGACATTTCCAGTACCTGGCAGCCTAAACTCATGTCGCAATCAGGAATAGATGATTAAGAGCAATATCAACATGTAACGAAGTTAACACGCCAGGAAAAAAAAGATGACGGTATTTAAAACATCAACACAATTCTTAAACATCATAACCATCCACATTCCAACCTTTTTGGGTATTAGGATATGTGGTCATGGATAGAAACAATACGACCAGATAAAGATTATGTATAAGAAAATAAGCTGCTTCTTATTATGTTACAGTTGGCGTAACAAATTAAAAACTTGCAAAATACAGCGGCTACACATACCTAGGTAATTCAGATCTCTTTGAAACTGGGACTTCATCTCTTCAAACTCATTCTTAGTTTTCGACAGCAGAGCTTTGAGATCCTGAAAGACGCATCATTATACCAGCATTATTATGGGAGCTCATGTTACATACAAATGACCACGTAAACGATGAAATATACATTCATTTTTATGACCTCCACGATAAACAGTACCCGCTAATGCTTTCAGTTTCCAGTAAGAAGGGTGACAAAAGCAACGTTTTTCATTTAAACAATGTTCTAACTGCTTCTTCTTCTCCTTTGTAACCAATTCTAATTCAATAAACAAGCTACATGGAAACATACCACAAGTTCTTTTTCCTGCTGGTCAAAGAGATGCTTCTGGCTGCAAGTGCACTTAGTAGTGCAGCCTCTGCAACACTATACAAGGCAAACACCGGTCATATCAACATCTGTCCATCTACTAAATAAAGCATGCAAAGCTCGTTAATTTTTTTATTTTTTATTTTTTGACCTGGCAAAGCTCGTTAATTTAGAAAACCGGAAAAACACGGTTTGCTGCCAAGCATGACGTCGCTACGCTCATCTGTAGCTATAAAAACACACTGAATATACTACCTTTGAACATCGTCTGTCACCTTGACACTTAATGACAAGATGCACGTTACAATTACAAGTACGGAAGAAATATTATTGAGCGGCTGTTTCATGCATAAATTTTAATAGACAATTAACAGAGTAGGAAGTATTAAAAAAAAAAAAAACAGAAGGTACCTTAAAATTTTGAGGTGTAGATTCATCTGACACTGTGGATGTTGAATTACTTAAAGTGCTCCTTTCTTTTGTAAAACCCTTCAGCAGCAATGCTAACTGTTTCCGGTCAAAATGAGTTTTTTGTTAAGTATTAACCAACTTTTTTGGAACAGAAGGTTTGGCATTGAAAATATATGGCCAAATCATCGAGGCAGGCCAAAAAAACTGCAGCATACGAGTAACTACCAAAATTAAATTTTTGGAGGTCAAAGTTAGCTTTATAGGAGACCAGGACGTTAGGTTAGATGGAATGATCACAATATCTGTGTGACAGCTACAGGTGAGGAATTTTCCGAGGCTAGGTCTTAATGGGCTTAAGGACAGCAAGGCACACTTCAACAGCCATTATTTCAACCATTTAAGATATTCTTCGGTTTTCGGTAAAAATAAAAATGACGGATGGTTGTTTTTAACTATCTCATTACTTCGGAAAGAAAATAACGATTAATGATGGCATATATGTATTTCTTCAACAAATAAGAATTAACAATATGACTTTTGGCATACAGACAAATCATACATAATGATCATGGATAACATCACACTCACCTCGGGGAACTTGGCTTGGAGCTGATCCCCAACACAAGTTGACATGATCCCACTAAATAGCTTAATTGGATCCTGTAGCATCAAAAGGAGAAAGATAAAAGGCTCAAGAGTTTTATCAACCAATGTATTTCAATGTGTTAATTTAATAATTTGCGGTAAGATGTTTACATGATTACATTTCATTATAATACCTGTTGGGCATTACGAATAGAAGCAACAAGGTTGCCGTCAATATTTTCCTTGGCGTCAACCATACAGTCAACCAATAGCTTAACAATTGATTCCACAATTTTGCCTGTATTCAATAGAAGTATAGGGGGAAAAAAATAAATTATTGCCAACTGAAAGTGAGAACTGAGAAGAAGAAACAGTTCATCAGGGTCTGAATTCAGCAGGCTTCTAAAATTTGACAGATCAGATGCAACTTTCTTTTATGAGCTATTTGTACATATTCCTCAGCATAATTGAAAATTGCAGCTTTAGTAAATACCAAACCCCATGAAAAGGCAACAGAGAGTGGCTGAACCTTCTGGTTTCTGAAAATCACCCTCGAGAGAATGCTCTTTATCTGACGTGGCTGACAAATCCAGGCGCCTACAGGCATCCGAAGAGATTGCAGCTGAGGGTCTTGGATACATTCTACTGGCAGAGTGCATTAAAAAAGGAGATCTTAAGTGCCTGTTACTTCCATTCTCAGTATTTGTCCCCTTCCACTCTTGATGCGATTTAAGCGCTAAAACGCAATCGACAACCTTAGATACTGATCCCACGTCTACAGCATCCTGTATAATAAATAGTCAACCACAATTCATACTCGTCTCTCCATAAACACAAGCTTAAAAGCAACTTTTCACTTGCCAATTCATTCACATGATATGGTTACTAATTCACAAGATTACCCGTTCAAGATCAGAAGCCTCAAAGGGTGGAAGCTTTAATTCTTCTGCTGCAACCAGAAAATTTCTTACATTTTCGAAGTACTGGTAGGCAGGCAAAGGCTGGAAATCCCTAGCAACCGATTGCAAGGGCATTTGACAATCCACAACCTTAAAGCCACAGGGGAAAATTGTGTGAGCAAAATAGAGAGAAAGAAAAAATAATGCAAGACTGAAATTTACGACCTCCTATTATGAAAAGCTCCTGTTTGATTATACGTAATTGTTTGAACTATAGCGGGTGATATATTAGATTAGCGAGAAGAAATAATGAACGCGATAGTGGAACATAGTGACACCTTGGGGACGGCTCCTGCATGAATCTTGTTGATTGCGTTGCAGAGAACGAGACCATTTCTTAAGCAAGAAATGAATTCTCTCTCCGACGGCTGATTGGATATGCCGAGCGGGCCCACTTCCCTTTCAAGCCACTCTGCGGCTTCATAACGTCTCCAAGCTGCAGAAGTTGTTTTGACAATCAGTAGATATGGATTGAGACGGAAATGCAGAGGGAAAAGATGAAAGAAAAATATAGATGTTCTTGGAACATAACAAACAAACAAAAAAGAGTTTTTTTTTTATGCGAACCGGCCCTTGATTATAATGAACAGTGGGCAAAAAAATAAACTGACCCGCTTCTTCAGCTTTTCGTGACGCCACATTCAAATCGTGAAAGCCAGTTCTTGAGCAATCCTCCATGAAAAATCCCAAATTTTCTGGATTCCTACAGAGCTTTGAATGAATAATCAAAATCCAGAAATTGCCAAAAACCCAAGACAGCAACTTTCTTTCTTTCTTTCTTTTTTTTAAAAAAAAGATGAGTTGGAGAGAAAGAGGAGATAGGCAGAGAGATGAATACAGGTTCTATTAAGTGGGTGCTTTTGCCCAGGACCTGAACCCAGAAAACAGAGTGAATGTGGCTTTCTGGAATGAGACAGTGAAGGAGAGTGATGAACAGCAAGTGTGAAAGATTTGGTGGGGCAACCGCCCGGAGGAATGCGAAGTTTGGGTTAAGTTTGGATCAGAACCTGAGGTGCGGAATTTGTACCGTTACCTATGATTTTGAATTCAAATTGGTAGGCCACGTTGTGGGACCCGGGTGGGGAATGCGAAGGAGGATAATCTCCGTCCGTCGTTCTCATGATCACGGAACTAATGAAGCGGCGCGGATTGATCATTGATGTGAGGGCGCAGCACGCAAAATCAGGTCCCTCTTTGGGTAATGGAAGTTCAGGTGTTCCCCGAGTACGCTTGCCATGCCCAGTGCGGCAATAAAATCTCTCGCTTTTATCATCGTTATTATCAGGCAATGTGGGAGTTTATTAGGAGTAATCACTTTTTTTTGCCAACAATTAGGAGCAATCGCTACAGTTGCTTAAAAGGTTATTTATTTTTTTCGTATCTGCTTTTTTAAATTTAAATTTTTTAAAAAAAATTCTCTCCATTCTTTTTTTTATATATATATAGCGTAGAGTATATTCTCAAATTATTTTGAATTTAAGATTAATTTTTGCCAAGTCAGGAATATTAAAATTAAAATCAAATCTCTTTCATTCCTATTCACATAAGTAATGATACTTGTTTGGATTAACATTCCTAAAGCTTGCCTTTGTATGAAACATCATTTTTAAAAACTGACAATTACTTAGATGATATAATTAAAAATAAAGTCTAAACATAAAATATCAAAAATAATATGAATCTTATAAGAATACACATAACTTTGAGAAAAATATAAAGAGTTATCGTCCTATTGAAAAAAACGTTGTAAATAAAAAAAAACACTTAATTAGATATATTTCATGAATAAAAATATATGTAAAAATAAAATTTAAAATAGCATAAAACATTTAAAAATTAATTTCATTGAAGAAAAGTTCCTTAGAAGAAAAGGTCACTTTTTGAAATTCTAAAATAGAGCTTTCAATCTGGCTGTCTTTTTGAAAAAAGAAGGGGGGGAAAAAAACCTCACTTGCCCTCAACGCACATAGAGGGATATAGATTACAGCGGTGGTGCATCGTATCTAGCATCTCAATGAAATCCAATTAGGCGGAGAAGAAAGGAAGATCGAGAAGATTTAAGTAACAGGAAAGTTACAAAGCACCTTTAATTTTTTTCTGGTAGAAAAGAAAGTCCTTTCTGCTAGTTCAAAAGGCTGTATTGTTAAACTTCCATAAAATTACTAAAATCGCTTTTGAGGGAGAACATACGTACAGGCAGGTCGAGACATGTTCAAATTGACCTTCAAATTATAGTTTGTGTGGATTTTCTCCAGGATCAGATCTCCAGGACTATGATTTCTCCCAATACTAGGTTTAGGGCTAAAATAAGGCCGGGAATGTATTTTTGGCCCAAAAAAAGCCCGCTTTATGTCGAAGACTCCAAGTAATGGCCTTGGGCTTGACCATTAGCCTTTTTTCAAAAAAGACAAAAGGCCTCTTGCTTGGACTAGTTCATCAGTTTAGTAGGCCATATTCAATTTAACCCGACCTCAGCTTACTACTAAACTAAACCAAACCACAAATTGTTAAACCCAACACAACCAAAAACCATACTAGACTTCTGGTTAACTTTTGATTTGGTCTTGTTTATCTACTGTACAACTCTATAGATGAATGGTCATATAGATCACATCTCAAATTTATACTACATCGGTCCTTAATATAAAAATTAACTGACTAATTTGAGTAGGTCAATAATATTTGTTAAATTAGTTATTTGTAATAAATAGGTGTTGTTTTTCTTAAAATATTTTTGTTAATTATGTGTAGTAGTTAGAACAATCATTTGATGAATTTTTAACATGTGCAACTAGTACAGGGACTATTTTGAAAAAAAATAAATAAATATGAGAGATAAGGTAAATTAAAATTTTATATTTAGGCTCAAATTAAAAATTAAAATAACTTTTATATTTGGGACCGAAGGTAGTATACTTTTGTTTTTCAAGTTGTCTGAAACCATAAATATCAATTGCCTCCATGCACTTCTTTTTTTAAACGTGACGAGCCATCGAAGTTTAATTGGAGAATTTTTTTTTAATATGCGCAGTGCTTGCGTCAATTGAAAGTGTGTTGAAATCCAGAATCGGGCGAATAAACCATGAGCTCACTGCAATTATTTAGAATTAAAGATCAATTAAAAAAAGGACATTTACTTCTTAGCTGGGGATGAGAAGAACAATAAGGAAGGAGAACATGAAGAAGTGGGTGGGGAGGTGTTAGTTAAGGTAGTAATTAATAAGTGATGGGAACGAGTGAGAAGGCGCGGCGGCCATGGCGGCGGAGACACCTCGCCTGACATGAGCTTCCGTCCCTCCCTGTTTTGATTCTCATGGGAAGGGCTGCGTGCGGCCATTGGATGGGGCAATGGGCAAGGATACCTCTATTTCTCTTCCTCTTTATTTTTATTCACTTCTCATTTCAATCATAAAATTAAAATTTTAATGTTTCAGATTTTATATGCATAAAATTATGAATAAAATATTAAATTTTCAATAAATAAATAAATAAAACAAAATGACGCTTTTAAATTTTAGTCAGGACAATTCAAAAGATTTTATAAAATTATTTTCTAAAACATAAATTCTGAATTACTCTTCTGATCCTTAATATAAGACTCAATTCTTGAGTCAGTTTTGGTCCTAAATATAAGACCCATTTATCATATTTATTAATTTTCTCTAAATTACTCTTATGAATACTCCTTCAACCATAATCAAGTGGAAGAAGGAGATAGGGTATTAAAAAATATGACTATGGTGTTTTAGGAAAAATGTGTCACTTTTTTATAATTAACTAATTTACCTAAATTTCAAACTTAATTGTTAAAATAAAAGGTGAATAAAAATAGAGAGAAAGAGAAGTGGAGAGACTCTTTATCCACCATTAAATTTGCCCCCTCCTAATTCCATAAACTAGGACACTAATTTAAATCCTCTAGGACACTAATTTAAATCCAAATGTTATTTTCATTTTCGTAAATAAAGATATTGATTTTGATTACTCCCTCCTATACAATGGCCTCTAGAAACACAACTTAATTCAAAATATAAGTTACTAGTAACCGATAATTACTTATCAATTTTATCCTTATAATTAAAGCTTAAATGAAACTCATTATACCCCTCACAACTGGATACAGTTGAAAAAAGTTCTCAATTTAAAACGTATTTAGTAAATTAACTATTGTTTTTGGTATGAATTAATTAGTTAAAATGATTATATTCTGAAACGGTATATTATTCTCATCCACTTGTCACAGCGGTCCTAAATAGCACGTAGTATTTGAAGTACTCCATATTAAGAAGATTTTTTTTCCCCTCTACTAGCTTTAAGGTTGTATCCAAAAAAAAAAACTTTAAGGAAAAGGGTTTCACAAGTCATAACGTAAGATGTAATAGGCAGTAGCAGGGAACAGGTTGTATGCTGATAAAATTTCTCTTGATCCAACTCCTAAGTAACTTTCCAGTTGTTTATTATTTTCAAAGAAAGAGGCGTTCAGTTTGATCATCCCATCTATTGTCCGCGAGAGAGCCTTGGGGGAATCAAAAATCGGATTGAATATAGTGTATTTACACCAGTTCTAAAACGTATCTAACTTTTAATTTCTAATTTATGTTTGGCTAGCAGTTTGTGTCCAGAAGAATTATAATTTTTTAATTCTTAACATAAAACACATTTAACTAATTTAATTAAATTAAGAAAATAAAATAATATAATTAAAGATAATAAAACTATTGGGGCGGGAGTGAAATCGTTAGGGGGGCTGCTGGTGAGGTGAGTGAGAGCGAAATCCTTATTTGTGGGGGGAGGGAACAAAAAGAAAATTACGGCTCACCGCCAAATGTGAGCGGCGCCGTTATTTGGGGGTTAGGTATTGCCAATAAAGGCGCTTTATTACCAAACAGGAGAGGCCAAGATCTGTGAAGCAAGGTTTTTCCCCCTGGCAACTCAAACACGTTATATTTTCTATAAAAATCTTGAACTCGCGACGTTGAAAAGATTTTTAGAGAAATGTTTGATGTCATCTAGATTATACGAACCCGATTATGGTAAAAAAAAAGGTTGGGATATAAAAACGTGGATAAGATTTCTTCTGTCTACAGGAAATGTAAGGTAATCTCGCATGATTAGTTTTTATTTCTCTAAAACAGTGTTTGGTTTTTCAAAAAAATACTTTTAAAAAATATTTTTATATAAGTCGAGTCAAAACTCTTTTATATATTTATTTTGTATATTTTAAAATTATTTTTAAAATCGTGATTTGGTTTCCATCCATATATTTTATGAATAAAAATTAAAAAAAACAATGAGGAAATATATTAAATAAAAGAGAGGAGTGGGGGTAGAATGGGCAGATGGCTACACATGCATGCATGTATAAATGAGAGAGCCTGGCATACAATAAAGAGGGTGTCAGTGGCAGTGGCAGAAAAGGGCGAGAATAAGGAGGATGGAGGAGGAAACGATTAGAAGGGCGGGGGGAGGAGTGGTCTGGGAAGAGTTGACGGCGGAGGCGGAGCAGACCAAGAAGAAGCTGCTGAATAAGGCCACTGGTTATGCACTGCCAGGAAGGCTCATGGCCCTCATGGGTCCCTCCGGCTCCGGCAAAACCACCCTCCTCCGCTCCCTCTCAGGTATCGCTCTCTCCTTTTCATCTCTAGCTTTACACACATATTCTCCTGCATCCTCGTATACAAGCCTCGTTTCTACTGTGCATTTCTGTTATACTCAGTTTCCATCCTTCGCGCACACAGCTTACAGGATGAAAACACAGCACTCTCTTTTCTTTTTTCTTCGGAAAGAGAGCTTTTGTAGCATATGTTGTGAGTGACTTAAGTTTAACTTCCACCAGTAGCAAGTTTATAACAAAGGGCTCAACATCCAAGTCTTGCATATAGAATACACATATACGTATATATAAACCAAACACTCATCGAAAACATAATTAATTTCATGTGGATATATTAGTGTTTTTGTTTGTGTGCGTAAATATATGTGTTACTCATAATTTAATTATTTTCTTAAGATATACTACTTTTTAGGATTTTAATAAAATCAAAGATAATATATTCAATCTGCTTTCTGTTTTGAGCATGGTTTACATTACCGATGTTAGCGGACAAGACACGACAGTGACATATGAAATAAATTATTTAAAACGATAGGGGTTTTGTTTTGCCAACATTTGTTAAAATTTATAAAGCTTATAATATCCTAAATTATTTAATACTACCTCCAGTTCTAAATATAAGAGCCAATTGACTAATCTGAATAGATTAAAAAAACTAGTTAAGTTAGTTATTTGTAATAAATATGTATTGTTTTTTTTAAAGAGTTAAGGTGCACCCAGCACCCCTAAGTATTTTGTCAGGTGCACCCAGTGACCTAAAGTAATTTATGGTGCAATTTTGCCCTCAAAGTAATTTAAATGGTGCATCGGTATCCCATGCTAACAGATCTGTTAGTTTGACCGTTAAATTGATGAGTCAGCACAAGTTTGACCAGAAAATCTGACGTGGCATGTTTAATAAGCAGGTGATGTGGAAATTTTTTCGGGGTTAAGGTGCATCCAGCACCCCCGAGTATTTTTTCAGGTGCACCCAGTGGCCTAAAGTAATTTATGGTGCAATTTTGCCCTCAAAATAATTAATTCCATTGTTTTGTCTGAATATTACTCCTCTGGTCTTATTTATAAGGCACTTCCAGCATGTTTCACATAGACCAAAGAAAACCCTAAATTTCATTAACTCTCATTTAAATTTTAATAACTTTCCAACTTTATCCCTATTTAATATACATTATACCTCCTATAAACAAAGTTAATACAATAATAAATGAGGGGTAAATTTGTACATCCATACAAAAAATTTCTCTCAGTGCCTTATAAATAGGACCAAAAAATATCTTTTCTCTCTACCCTATAAATAAGACTAGAGGAGTATCTCTGAAAAAATTTCTTACTCTGAAAAAAATTCCAAGAGCCAAAGAGAGCATTTACTGAACAGAAAAAACAAAGCAGTGGCAGACGAAAAAAATTCCACATCACCTGCTTATTAGACATGCTGGGTCAGATTATTTTGGTCAAACTTGTGCTGACTCATCAATTTCATAGTCAAAGTAAGAGATCTATTAGCATAGGATACCGATGCATCATTTTAATTACTTTGAGGGCAAAATTGCACCATAAATTACTTTAGGTCACTGGGTGCACCTGGAAAAATACTTGGGGGTGATGGATGCACCTTAACTCCAAAAAAATTTCACATCACCTGCTTATTAGACATGCCACGTCAGATTTTCTGGTCAAACTTGTGCTGACTCATCAATTTAACGGTCAAACTAACAGATCTGTTAGCATGGGATATCGGTGCACCATTTTAATTACTTTGAGGGTAAAATTGCACCATAAATTACTTTAGGTCATTGGGTGCACCTAACAAAATACTTGGGGGTGCTGGGTGCACTTTAACCCTTTTTTAAAATATCTTTACTTTCAAATGTATTGGTCAGAATTATCATTATAAAAAAAATTATCTTAAAAAAACATACAAATATAAAAAAATAAAATAGATTGAAATTTTATATTTAAAATTAAAATAAAAATTAAATAAAGTTTTATATTAAAAATTCAAGACAATAATATATTTTAACCACGCAACAAGCTCTAACACGACAAGTTTCGAGGCCCAAGGCATGAAGCCGCAGTCCACCCCCCCCCGGGCAATAGTGTGCGGGCGCTGCGCCATCCAGACACCCGAAGGATGCTTTGGCCGGCCAAAAAAAAAAAAAAAGACCCGAAGGATGCTGTTGCAGGGTCCCGGGGTGGCGCCAACCCAACCGCGTTTTGGAGCCGCATCGCTCCGAATAGTTCAACATCGTCATTCTGTAATTCGTTGTTTCTATTTTTTTTTAATAAAAAAAAAAGTTCCACGTTTTGTACAGGAAGGCTGGCTGGGAACGTTGTAGTGACCGGCAACGTTCTAATCGGCGGGAAGAAGAAATGCTTCAAATGCAGAGAAGTGGTAAGATAACCCGTCTGCTGCTAAACCCTCTTTCTCACCCCATTCACTGCTATTTACGGCATTGTTAAAGGTCGATCCTCCCTGCAAATTGGGATTGTTTTGATAGTTTCTTTTTGTTTTCAATATTATACAGTCTTATGTGGATACAGAAGAACTGTTCTTGGGGACTTTGACGGTGAGAGAAACCTTAGCATACTCTGCAAATCTGAGGCTTCCTTCGAGAATGACACGAGAGGAGATAAGCAAGGTGGTGGAAGAAACCATAATCCAACTGGGTCTAGAAGAATGTGCAGACAGTAAGCTTGGGAACTGGCATTTACGTGGTATCAGCAGTGGCGAAAAGAAGAGACTCAGCATTGGCCTTGAGATTTTGACACAACCCCACGTCTTGCTTCTGGATGAACCCACAAGTGGGCTTGACAGTGCCTCTGCTTTCTACGTGATTCAAACCCTGTGCAGTATAGCTAATGATGGAAAGGTAGTTGTCTGTTCCATTCATCAGCTGAGCAGTGAACTCTTTAACCTTTTTGACGATCTTCTCTTGCTATCGAGCGGAGAAACTGTTTATTTTGGGGAAGCAAAGATGGCTTTGAAGGTAAGCAATTTGGGAAAACCAAATGTTTCAACGATTTTTTTTTTTTGGGGGGAAATTCAGAGTTCTAACTGTGTCCTGGGAACAGTTCTTCACTGATGCAGGGTTCCCCTGTCCAGTTAGAAGGAATCCTTCAGATCATTTCCTTCTCTGTGTTAATTTGGACTTTGACGCCATTGATGCAGTTACGATGAGTTCTGAAGCAAGTATTGTTAGTCAAAGCTTGTTGTTTGCATCTTTGTTGAAAAAAAAAAATCTTGCTTCTGATTCTGAATGTGAATTTCATGGTTGACAGCCTACGTCATCAAATCCTGCAACAGGCAAGAAAACAGAAGAGATTAGGGCGACACTCATCGAGAGTTACAAAAATTCAGAGCAGATGATCAACGCAAGAAGGAGAATTCAATGTTTGAAATCCAGTGTATGAATTACTCAACATTGTCTATCATGTAGTTTACCTTCATACTGCTTCGTGCACAGTAACTATGAGAATGCACTCTAGTTGCCTTTTCTTTTGTTTTTTTTGTTTTGTTTTTTGTTTTTGGTTGGTCATTTTGATGCTCCTGATTGATTAAGAGGTGTTAAAATTGCAGGGAGACCAAGTAATCGAGTCCAATGTCAGTGGCAGTATCAGCTGTTGGAAGCAGCTCTACACATTGACCCATCGATCATTCTTAAATATGTCAAGGGACGTAGGCTACTATTGGCTGAGGATCTTTTTCTATTCACTGGCAGCCACTGGTATTGGTCTCTTCTTTTTTCATCTTGGTACTGACAAGGACTCAATCTTGGCCAGAGGAAAGTGTGTATCATTCATTTATGGGTTCATAATTTGTCTGTCATTTGGAGGATTGCCACTTTTCATTGAAGAATTGAAGGTATAAAGAACTGAAATCTCTTTTTCTGCGGAAGCTACTGAATCTCTTGTTACACCCTACTAATGCATTTCTAACCCCAACCGAAATCAGGTGTTCTACGGTGAGAGGTCCAAAGGGCATTACGGAGAAGCTGTGTTTGTACTATCAAACATCCTATCGTCTTTCCCTTTCCTACTTGTAACATCGGTCTTCTTTGTCACAATCACATACTCCATGGTGAAACTTCATCTGGATTTAGCTCAATGTGTTTTCTTTTTCCTCAACTTATTTGTGTGCCTATCTGTCATTGAGTGCTGCCTCATGGTAGTAGCCTCACTGGTGCCTAATGTCCTGATGGGCATAGGAGCAGCAACTGGAGTGATTGTAAGCAAACATAACTCAATGTCTCTATCACCAAAACAAATTTTCTTTTCCGGAAACTGACGAACAGTTTAACTGATGGCGGTGACTGCAGCTTTTCATGATTATGTGTTCTCCAATGTTCAGACCGCTACCTGACCTTCCTAAGTTCTTTTGGCGCTACCCCATGTCCTACTTGAGCTTTGCTACTTGGGCAGTGCAGGTACAAAATTCAGTGTTGGAAATATGTTACGAGATCCATCATTTTTTTCGAAGTATATTGATGAACTGAAATCATATTGTTATGATCTGCAGGGGCAACTCAAGAATGACATGCTGGGGCTTGAATTTGATCCTCTGATTCCTGGTAACCCCAAGGTTAAGGGAGAACAAGTTCTGAAAGTGATATTTGGGGTTTCATTAAATCATGGCAAGTGGTGGGACATAATAGCATTAGTTACCCTCTTAGTAGCTCACCGATTTATCCTTTTCTTGGTACTTCGATATAACAAGAGACGGATATCACCCTTGCGGTGGTTTTATGCCAAGGCAAGTCCACACTATGGTGAAAGATTTTCATTGAGCAACAAGCAACTTCGTGTCGCTTTCAAGAAACAGCAAGCTGTTCCATTACCTGCTGAATAGGGTATTATATGTCTTCAAGATATGCAATATAACTATATTATCATTATGGCCGATTTCTTCCTTTACCCCAATACAGGGAAAAGGACATAGTAAAATATTTGAATATATGCCCATATTTTGGATTGTTTCGTTGTGTTATCTATATCATTTATGTGGTCCTTGGGTATGCATTTAAGTCTGCAATAACTATGAGTCAGGTATAGTGTACGATATCCAACTACCCCGCCGTTTGGGGTTATATTTTGTTGGAAAAGGGAGCCCAGAAATGGAATAATCAGACTTGGAAACTGGGGGTCGGTGCCCATATGCTTATTTGATTAAATCCAAGTGTGTTCTGAGAGAATTGGTTGATTCAAACATGTCCTCTTATGTCCGTAGATAGCCAGGAATGTTAGATGCCAGAACAAAAACACAGATTTAAAACATATCTGAATTTAGTTCAATTGATAGCAGTTTGCCCGTGGGATGGCTATACCGTGGGCCTCGTTTGGTTACAATTCTTTGTGTCTTTGCTTTATATGATATTACTTTTTGGCCAGATATAATGGTATTGATTTTTCTCATAAATATTAATAATTAATAATTATTTTTTATTTTAAAAATAAATGCAATAAATATTTCTCATCTTTTTTCTGTTTTTGGTGATAACATTCCTCATCTTTAAAATTATTATTTTTTGCTTATTAAGCGAGTCTCTAATTAATTACATGCATACTAACCTCTACATGATTTATTGCACATAATCAAAACGCAACTTATCAAGCTTCAACATGAAGAGACCTACCCATACCGACACCGTGCCATAATCAACAAATAATACTCATCCTACAAAGTATATACAAGAGAAGAGCTGGCTCCTTTCAATCTTAGCAACATATAAATAGGTCGGGATTGGGTCAGAGAATATATTGGACATTGATTGAAGTGAAGTTGCAGGCTGGAGCAGATAAGGATGATACAACAGTGATGACACCAGAAAGTCTGCCTTCCCTTGTAGTTCAGACTAATTATTAGACATTTGAGCCAATAGCAAGATCACAGTTCAATCAGAGAAACTGACATCACCCGGAGACTGATTCTGTGATCCCATTAACCGATTTTCTCTGATTTTAACTTCAAAACCAGGCCTTTAGTTTTATGCGCAATTTCACTTAATAGGTCATATAATGCTATATCAACCGAGCAGGCCTGGGGATTGAGATTGGAGAGGCATAATTAATGAAGGAAAGGGAAAACTTGGCATAAGCGTTGAACAAATGCTAGATGAAAGGATCACAGAGTTTGATAGCACAAACATAGCAAATTTAAATTTGGACAGAAATTTACTCGAGAAGAAAATGGTAATATCATAAACTAGGGTTCTTGCTTGAATACAAGTCCATCCAATCGCCACAATGCTGTCACTGAGATCATAATTGAGACTTGTACAATTCCAGTTAAAATGCATTGAACAGTCAAAAACCTGTGATGAAGTATTCGAAGCTCTACATGTACAGTCTATGAAGTTCCTCATCAGTTCAAGGAATAGTTGTCAAAATTGACAGTACGTTCCACTTGACCAATTTGGAAAACAAAAATGAATCACGAAATGAGGGCACGAATCTATCGACCCTTCTCCTCTCTTCAATGCCTGAACTATTATTTATTTGCTTCGATGAATTCTCTGTACTCCCTCTTCATTTTCACTCCTGGTACAGTCCTGCAATATCAGTACACAAGCATCAGCATGCAAGTATAAAAAATCATAGCAACAATCGCCTCTCAGTCTATAATGCTATCGATGGCAATCATCAGCTTTAGAATTAGAGTTTGCAATCAAAAAGAGGATCACTGCAAATGGATACAACACAAGACAGTCGACCAGCATCAAAGTAGCAATTTAAGGATTGAAGAGACCACCAATGATTATGACTATAATGACTACGATGACAATGAAGATGATGAGGAGAAAAATAAGGACGGAAGACAGATAATAAATAACTTACTTAAGCATCTCCTTGTTTTTGAAAAACTGCACACATGGTGTTCCCATGATACCGGCTGCTTCTGCTACTTCTGGATCTTCCTCTATATCAATTTCAACGAAATGTATATTCTGATCAAATTCGTCAATAACCTGCCATGGGAGAGTTGAGAGAAGAAATCCAAACATTTTTTACTCTCAATGTATAATTGAAAACAGACTACCAGTGTTATAAAACCATGGGCAACATTGAACCAGGATAAGTAGTAGTTTATGGTAAATGTAACACGTGGAAAGAAGTTTTAAACTTTTAATTACTTTATACATAAGCACAGGTAAATGTGATTTATTGATTCCCCATTAAGTTCATAAAATATTAATTTCATGCTTTCTGATAGCAAGATTATGTCATTTGTGCTTGTTCCTAGCATGAAAAGAACGACAGCAGAATCATGTCACATAAATTTAATGATCACAAAGTGAAAAGAACATGGCAAGTACCATTCTATATATTCAAGGAAAGTGAAATAGCTTTCATTTGCCTTTTTTAACACATACCTTACTGAGAATTGGTTTCAAAGTCCTACAAGGACCACATGTTGGCGATGTATATATTACGCATATAAGCCTCGGACTTTCATGGTACAATTTCCGCAGAGCATACTACAAAAAGGATATATAACAAAGGAAGAAAACACATTATAATTCAAACCCAAAACTAAACGATAAAAGCCAGTTCTTTCTTTGGATGCATAATAAAAGCCAGATATCAATCCCATTAGCCTAAGAACGTGGCAAGGAAACACTTACCTGCCCTCTATGATTTGTAAGTGTGATATCAAAACCCTCTTGAACATCCCTCTCTGTGAGTTCCTTCCTAACCTCTTCAGTTGCAGGCTGTTATGAGTAAATAGAAAGACTGAGAAAATTATTGGAACATACTGAAATACCATGAATCCAGAGGACAATAAGCTCATATAAATCGGGGTCTATTGAAATCAAATACCTGATGGAACTCCACAAGAAGATCATTGCTAACAAGATATCTCTCGGCTGATAAAGCAGCAATGCACCCAGAACCAGCAGCTGTTATTGCTTGCCTCCATTCATGATCCTAAAAGACGAATTTTAAGAGAACCTACAGCAATTACTACATACAACTTATTTTTTAAACATGGTAACATCAACCGAATAGATTTAGACAATTTACTTTCTGGAAAGTTATATTCTCAGTACCAAGAATATTATCTCATAACTACTGGATCTGGTCCTGCATAAGTTTTATTTTTGTTTTTCAACTGTGTAGAACTAATACAAGTCTGCTGCAAAAATACAACGGAGAAGATATTCAACAGGTTACCTGTACATCTCCAGCCGCAAATACACCTTCAACTGAAGTTTTTGCAGTACCCTCTTTAACCAAGATATAGCCAGAGTGGTCAAGCGCAACTTGCCCTTCCACTAGTTGGCTGTTCGGTGAATGACCAATGCCATAAAATAGCCCCTTTGCCTCAAGCACAGACTCCTCCCTAGTATCCACATTTCGAATTAAAATTCCAGACATCTGACCTTTTGCATTGCTCACGACATCTAGAGTCTCCGTATTGAAATGCACAGTGACATTGGGATTGGTGAACACTCTGAAACATTCGCGATAATCAACCTGTTAAACAAACATTCAGGGAGTTGAAAACTCACGTGCAAATTGTTTATTAGTATATAATTTACCTTCATCAAGGAATCCAAACAGAAGGCTCCATATAAAAACACAGACTACCAAGTAATTAAAGTTGGAAAATGTTCATTAAATTCAGACCCACCTATCTTGCATAGCTCTGGAAGCCTTTAGTTGGGCCTTCCGCACAAGTAAGTGAACATGACGAGCATATTTAGTCAAGTATATTGCTTCCTCAGTAGCTGTATCTCCCCCTCCTATAACAGCAAGGACCTGACCCTTAAAGAGAGGGGAGGCTCCATCACAGATTGCGCAGGCACTAATTCCTCTACTCCAGAATTCATCCTCTCGGGGTAGCCTAAGTCTCTTTGCTGTAGCTCCAGTAGCAAAAATGACAGTATGGCACTTGACCTGAAATAAAATGTTAATAAAAAATTCTGATAATTTTATGACTACTTTTCTTCCAAAGAGAAGAGATATGATTGAAAAAACTTCCTCACCACACTCGTGCAACATTCAAATGTTTTAACTCCAAAAATTAATACACACATACATAATCAGATTTAATTGAGCAGCTAGATTCGAAGATACGGATAAGTTTTAGAAGAAGCGAGAATATTAATTTATGCAATCATGTGACTTTAAATCAACTTGGGGCTGATGAACATGTCAGTATCACCTTACGTTCACTGCTTTGGACCGTGAAAGGTCTATTTTTAACGTCAACAGCTTCAACGTCTTCTTGGAACAATTCTGCTCCCCATCGTTCAGCTTGCCGTCGCATCCTGCATAGGCAGGCAGGAAATGTGTAAATTACAAGGCCTTCACGTCAATTAATAACAACACAATTATACTATATCTTATTTTTTCTGTTCTACTACTTGTCCATCAGATCGGGACCAGTTATCCCATCTGGAAATCCTGGAAAGTTCTCCACTTCAGTGGTGGTCATCAACTGCCCCCCAGGTACGCCACCTACTTGATAACCTTCAAACACTACAGGTTTTAAATTGGCACGAGCCGCATATATTGCCGCTGTGTATCCTGCAGGACCTGAACCTATAACGACTACATTCTCGACATCGTGTCCTGTGGAAAGGAAAAAACGTATTAAGATTTAAGACCAATAACAATCAATGCGTTATTATGGCTGATTTTCATTTGACAAGCCAGTATTGCGTTATCATCACTCATCAGAAACATCTATATCTGAATAAGCAGGACTTCATAAACACCTAGGTAGTGTCCTTAAAGCAGGTTCTGCTAGAAGGTCAAACTTCGGCCTAAAAACGCTAGACTAATCAAATAAGCAGAGCGAAAGACATATAAATATAAATACAGCTGCCCAAAAGTGCCTTTCTTCTAGCGTAATCGATCGGATAAAGAGGAACTACAAAAAAGTCGCGGCATTGGTTCAATCATCGTCCATGCGTTACGCAACGAGGACATGATTAACGTTCTAATTCTTCGGTCCAATTTGGCATCAGCTGTATACACTCTCA